AATCCGCTTGGCATCTTTCTTGGCCTTAAGACAACAATTCTGATGGCTAAAGATCCAAACGGGACAAAAGAAAAAAGAAAAAAAAAGAGCCTGGCTCATATGGATTTTTGAACTCACTACTGATATTTGAGGAAAACTAGGGGTTTTAACAGAGGTAAAGGTCAGTTACTAGCCCGTCTGCTAGTTTAGTCTTCCCTCTGTGGCCACATGAATCAGTTTAATAATAATAATGTTTGTTTTTTTTCTTGGTGGGTCCTGAAAATTACTTTCGTGCATTTATTTTAAATATTTGGATGATATTTCATAAAATGTTGTTGACACTTTCAAAGATATTCATAGTGCTGCTGCAATAATACAGACGAGTGACAAAAGCGCTCTGGAGAAAGGTTTGTTCACCTCTGCACATGTGACCGACTGCTGCGTAAAACTGTTCATGCACGTCTGGTCTACGCCACACAAACATACATTCACTGGCCATTTTATTAGTTACACCTTAGACCCCTTTTTGCTATCAGAACTGCTTTAATACTTCATGGCATCGATTTAACAAGGTGCTGGAAACATTCCTCAGATTTTGGTTCTCATTGACACGGTAATGTCACACAGTTTCAGCAGATTTGTCCATGATGAAAATCTCTCATTCCATCACATCGCAAATGTGCTCTGAGATTTGGACTGTGGAGTCCATTTGAGTGCAGCGAACTCACTGCTATGATCAAAAACGATGAGATGATTTGACATTTGTGACGTGGTGCGTTATCCTGCTGCTTCCTCAGAAGGGACAGTACACTGTTTCATAAAGGGATGGACATTATCAGCAACAGTATTCAGGTATGCTGTGGGCTTTAAACTATGCTCAAATGGTGCTAACTGTCCCACAGTGTGCCAAGAAAATGTGCCCCACACCACCAGCCTGAACTGTCATTACAAGGCAGGATGGAGCCACGATTTCATGTTGTTCATGCCAAATGTGAACCCTGCCATCTGAATGTCACAGCAGAAATGGAGATTCATCAGGCCAGGCAACATGTTTACAGTCTTCTGTCTGAGCCTGTGTGAACTGTGGTCTCAAATTCCTGTTCTTAACTCTCATGAGTAGCAACTGGTGTGTTCTTCTGTTGTTGTAGCCCATTTTCTTCCAGGTCTGACATATTGTGAGTTCAAAGATGCTTTTTTGCATACCTTGGTTGTAACGAGTGGTTATTTGAGTTCCTGTGCCCTTATTGTCAGCTCGAAGCAGTCTTGCCATTCTGCTCTTTGGTCTTTGGCAGCAAAACATCTTGAACTACTGCTCAGTGGATGGTTTCTCCTTCTCAGGCCATTTTGTGTAAACCCTGAAGATATTTATATGGGAAATTCAAATTATATCAGCAGGTTCCGAAATACTCACACCAGCCTATCTAGCACAACAACCACGCCACGTCCAGAGTCACTTAAATCATCTTTCTTCCCCATTCAGTGCTCAGTTTGAACTTGCGTACATCCCTAATTAGTTACTGCCCTGTGGTTGGCTAATAAGATATTTGTGTTAACAAGTTGTTGAACAGGTGTATCTAATGAAGTGGCTTTAAATTATTTAAGTGCTAAAACAGAATGTCTGTGAAGGTTCTCAGTCATCCAGGTCATCGTAGTCAAAGGAGCTTGCAAAGAAAAGCGTCTGGACTTCTTTAAGTTACTTGAAGACGTTTCACCTCTCATCCGAGAAGCCAGAGTTTCGGGTGAGTAACTCACCCGAAACTCTGGCTGATTGGGACCCACACCCAGTTTCACACCTTGGCTCAGGCGATTAGAGGATCATCAGGGGGTCCTTTTGTCCCTCTGTGGGGGGGACACTCCCACTAGGTTTATATCTGGGACTCTCCACCATTTGACCTTAGAACTGAAGAAGCTTCTCGGATGAGAGGTGAAACGTCTTCAAGTAACTTAAAGAAGTCCAGACGCTTTTCTTTGCAAGCTCATTTGACTGCTAAAACAGAAGCATTGCTATTGTGTAATTCCTGAAATTCCAATACATCATAGAAGAAACTGACAACCTCAGTGCTACTTGAGTCCACCATAAAATATCATGGTGTATTTGGTTGAGGTCATTTATTTTCCTCTCCTTTTTGTGTCTCTGCAGACAACTGGTGGTGTATCGTGGATGGCAGCGTGTTCACCCGAATGGTCGACATGTACAAGAGCATTGTTGTCTTTATGCTAACAGGAGGCAAGACTGTGCTCGTGCCCATGTTCTATGAGAACTATTTTCTTGCCACTCTTCGGCTGCTGGAAAAGCTCCACAAGGTATTCACAAACGACACTCGCCGTTCTCAGCTGTGCTTGTTCGGCAATACAATCCAAGAAGGAAGTGTTTGTGTCACGGTCAGATGGTTCTCGGTAATCTGTAGTCTGCTGTGTACTGTGACATTTCCTGGAGATCAGCAGGTTTTTGTTCCATGTTACCAGGTAAACTTGAAGGCACAACACGTGGAGTACAACCGCTTTTACATCCCAGACATCACCAGCCTCGTGGACATCCAGGAAGACTACCTCAAATGGTTTCTGAGTAAAGCTGAGATTGTGAGTACTGAGTTTGGGATAGGTTTTTGGGAAGGCATCTGTGTTTGTCAGGTCTGTTTGTCTCTTCTTGCTGCCCACTTGTTTCATAAACAACACTCGGGCACTGGAAGGAATTAAAAAATCTCTTCGTTTCTACTTTTAAATGTCTTTTTATTTTTCAAGTGTCAGGTTTGATCAGATGACTTTTCTTTCATTCTCATTTTTAGAAAGTGGGATCATCCCCTTCACAGGTAGTTGAATTAAAGACTCAGTTATTAAGCATAATAGATAAATGTGATTCATTTAAATGGTTTATTAAGCATTCATTCTGTTTTCCCTGCAGAGTGACTTTCCCGCAGTAAACCTATGTGCCTACCCGTTCATACTGAACGCAAAAGCCAAGACAACCATGCTGCAAACTGATGCTGAACTGCAAATGCAGGTATCCGCTGCTGACAGACTTTATGTGTCAGCAAATGTTTCTTAATTCTTCTCGTTCTCATGTGAACATTGTTTCATCCATTTCTCTCCACCTGTGTCCGTTACCAAGATGGCAGTAAGCGGTGCAAACCTACACAATGTCTTTATGCTGCTCACACTGGAACCCCACCTCGCTAGGAACCCTTACCTGGTGCTCCATGTGCGCAGGAGCCATTTAGTAAGCGACACACTACGCGAGCTCACCATGTACTCTGACGTGGACCTCAAGAAACCACTCAAGGTGAGAGGCGGCACTCACCGGAGGCGTAACTTGGACAAAGCGAAGATTTGTTTTTGTTTTTCATCTGCTTCTTCCTCCCTCCAGGTGATCTTTGATGGAGAGGAGGCCGTAGACGCAGGCGGCGTAACTAAAGAGTTCTTCCTGCTGCTGTTGAAGGAGCTGATGGATCCCGTGTACGGGATGTTCACTCATTACAAAGAGTCCAACCTGCTCTGGTTCTCAGATAAAGTGAGTTTCCCTGGTTGACAGTTAACAGGCAGTGGAATTAGTATGTTAAAGTATTTATCGAGTATATTTAAATATAATTAAGTCTAATTTTAGCATATTACCTTCAACTTGAAACATTACGGTGAGCCGCACTGCTGCAGACAGTTAAACACGAAGCTCTTTTCCAACTGCTGCACCTGCTGTGAACAGGTTTTAATGAATGAGTAGTTGCAATGTCTTCAAATAGGAAACTTCATCTTTTGAGATGGTTATCCAGAAGAAAAATGATACTTAATCTGGAGACTGTGTTTTAAAACATCGTAGACAGATCAGAGACAGCTTATTTATTTATTTAGTTTATGGATAATTTAGAAACACACAACTGTTTAAGTAACTTTGGATATGAACTAAAATCATCGGTTAATTCCTAATGCACAACAGTGTAGCACAGCTAATCCATGCTTTACAGGGGTTATTGCATTTCAGTCACAAAGCTGAAAGCTGCATACAGTGGTCCACTTTTTTTTTTCTACCTCTGAAAGAAAAAGGAAAATACTGTGACTCTGCAGACTGAAACATATTTGGACTTGCTGACAATAAGCAGCCTGTGCTGTTGGCTTTTAGCTCAGCTGTTTTCTGGGAAGTAAAGCGTTTAGGCTAATAATGATATTATGAGATCTCAGTGACGTCAGAAAAGAAAGAAGATTTAAGTAATTAGTAAGCATACTGCTCCTGTGCTGTGTGTGTAAATTGCACTCAGCCTTGTTTTAGGTTTGAAGCATCTTGTCTGGGCTGTGTGGGCTCCAGCCTAATTTGCCCCTTGGAGATAATGTCTCTTTGACATGCGCAGGATGGACGAGTCACATCTGTTGCTCAAAAAGAGAAGTCAGTGTTTCAATAAATCCACTGACCTTTTCCTTTTAGTTTGAAGCCTTTCAGCTTTCTTTTGTCTGGGTTTTTTTTTTTTTTTTGGACTAAAGAGCAGTCGGCCTCTAATGGATTACCCGAATGTGGACTGGCAGTTGTTTGACTGCTGCTGTTTTTTCCAAGAAGAAGAGCTGCTGTTTCTGCAGTTATACAGAGATGCTGTATGTCAGTGGGAACACTAAGGTTTACAAAACACTCACCTCTATAAGGGAGCTCGTCCCTCAGCCTTGACCGTCATGCTGACTGAGATTGGAAACAACATAATATTAGCTCTGTTCAGTCAGTCACCTCTCTGTCATTCAAATTAAGGTCAAAATCCCCCCTCCCCCCCCCCTTTTAAACTAACTCTTTGTAAAATTATTAAGTAAAAAAGTAAGAGGTATTTGCATGAGAGTAGCATTTATTTTATATAGTCCAAGATTCATTTTCTGGCACATAATTATAACACACAGTTGCAGCCATAGTGATAATCTAGAACAGGGGTGTCAAACTCAAATACACAGTGGGCCAAAATTCAAAATTGGAACAAAGTCGCGGGCTAACATTAATATTTATTGAAAAAAAAAAATCTTCCTCCAGATATAAGAATGAATCTTTTCTTATGGACTCAAATAAGTTTTGCTGGAAAACTGAATATGGAACAAGCAAAGCTTAATACTAAACAATATATATATTAGCTGTATAATACCAGTAGGCCATCTCTAATAGTATTTTGGTATGGCTTCGCGGGCCAAATGTAATTAGGCTGCGGGCCAAATTTGGCCCACGGGCCAGAGTTTGACACCTATGATCTGGAAGATGTCAAGATTTTCTTTTGGAGTGACACAGAAGGACATGATTAGACATGAGTACACCAAAGGGACATCTCAGGTTGAGTGGAGACAAGGGATGGTTTGGACATGTGCAGAGGAGGGACAGTGAATATTGGAAAAAGGATGTTAAAGATGGAGCTGCCAGAGACGAGGAAAAGAGGAAGACCACAGAGAAGATTCATGGATGTAGTGAAGGAGGACATGCAGAGGGTTGGAGTGACAGAGGAGGATGTCAGGGATAGAGTGAGATGGAGGAAGATGATCTGGTGTGGCGAGTTGCGCTCGAGGGGTGGTGTTGTTGGTTTCAGGGTCCACTATGTTGTTCCAGAATATCTCAACTATTCGGTAGGTTAATGGTTGGTGTATTTTTAGGCACATACTTAGCGATCATTGGACGAAGCCCACTGGTGATCTACTGACCAGCTGTTTGTTTCAATTCAAACAACTGTCATGGCTGCCATAGCCTCTACAGAATGCTTTGTGTAGATGAGTTAGTGAAACAGCTTGATTAGCTTTCTTGTGTTTTTGTGCCTTGTGATACAACATACAGTCTCTTTCTTGCACGAGGGTGTAACCATTGACATCCTCACATCTGTCCATTGCCAGTTTTTTCATTTTGTACAAATCTGGCTAACTCTTCCAAGTTTTATCTTTTTTTCCCTTCTGTTCAGCGTCCTTATACTCATCATAAAAATTCCCTTTTAGCACACAAACACAAACAATTTTCCTTGTTACTAAAGCTGATTCTTAAGTGTGATTTCACTAACTCGTCTACACAATTTTGTAGAGGTAATAGAAGCTTTGGCAGTTGTTTACTTTAAATGACAACTTTAATCTCCATATTTTGGCTTTATTCTATCCTTATGATAGCATATTTACCTCGAAGCTCTGATACCTTAGAGTTAAGAAGAAAGGTACCTTTTTCATATTTGTATAGTTCTGTGAGTGTGAATTTACTGCTGGTGTACCATATAACATTTTTCAGCTCGTGGGATGTGAGAAATTGTCGAGTTACGTTGAGCCAGCTGACACGATGCCACCAAAGACTCTGCTCAGAGAAGTGGTAAAAGAAAGACAACAGGAAAATAATGTTTCTGCGTGCATCTCCAGTGTTTTGTAGAGCAGAACTGGTTCCACCTGATCGGGATCATCTGCGGTCTGGCCATCTATAACGCCACAGTGGTGGACCTCCACTTCCCCCTGGCTCTCTACAAGAAGCTGCTCGAGGTGTCACCCACGCTGGAGGACTTCAAAGAGCTCTCACCCACCGAAGCCCGGTAAACATGGCACATTGCAACTCACCATTTATTTTTAATTCATTTTTTGATCTATATATTTATTTATATATAAGGGTTAATCTATACTCTGAGTTGGTAAAGACTTAAAATAATGAATGAAAGAATTCAATTTTTGATCAAACTTAGCAGAACAGCCTTTAAGTTTTAAGAAATGACATGACATCCTTAAAGCATAAAGAGAGATAACTGTGGGATTAGTGGACTTCCAGAGGAATAGGATGCAACTGAAGAGACCTCTTAGGTGAGAGGTCTTCAAAACTTAAGTCAAGTTCTTTTTCAAGATCCTTCAACTACCACGACCTGAATGACTGAGGACCTACACAAACAATAGGAAGAAAGATCTCACCAAAAGCGATGTTTGCATGCAAGCAAGGTATGTTTGGGGAACAAGTGGAACCCCCAAATATAGCAATGGAAGTGGTCAGTTTGTTATTGGGTTCCTAAAACCTTCCATAAAAAATTATGCAGTCTGAAGCAAAAGACAAACAAGGTGAGGCATGACATCTGGCACATTGGTCCATAATGTTGGGGTAAGTTCTTGATAAATAAGACCTTGAAAAGTGGATTCTATATCTTAAATAGTGTAAGTTGAAACCTGGCACAGAATCTAATCTGGAAATAAAGAAATAAATGGGACAATAAAATAACTTGAATGCCTCGATTATGTCACAGAAGATAGGAGGCATAAGTAAGAGCACAGGGTTTTTTTCAATAACTGCATCGCAGACTTAAAATGACTTAAAATGACTTAAAATGAGACTTCAAACTGAGACTGAATCCTAAGATTGCGCGTAAGAGGAGGGAACTCACAGATTTTTGCGACTGACTGTGTAGCATTTGTATTTCTGGGAGTTAAGGTGCAAAATATAAGGAGGAGAATATTTAAATCAAGCGCGAAGTTTACAGTTTTGGGTTTTTGTGTATTTTTCTTAATCACCTGTAAAACTAAACACACCTGTTAGCACTATTTGGTGAATGCACTCAGACGCTGTTTTGCTCTGTTTAATAAATCTTGCCCTAATAGGTGATGGAGAGTAGATTAGAGAGGCAGATGAAGAAAAGGATGAGCGAGATTGAATCTCAAGTCTACACCATAGTAACTCAGGCGAGTGAAGCCGGTCGATAAATATATGAATATGTGAAGACCGATATATAAAACGTGTAAATTGTTCTGATAAAGAAAGTCCCAATCTGGGGGCTTTACTGTCCCACAGAAACAAAGAAATAAATCGGTGCAATGATTTAAAAAAAAAATGCCTGGAATAAAAAAAGATTATGACTCCATTAATTTTAACCTATTAGCAAAAAGAGAAGAAAGTCTGGACACGCAGGGCTGTCAGAGTAAAGTGATGATGATATCTCAGCCTTGGGCCAGCGACTTGAAATAGTCCTCCTTTAGAAGGATGTTTACCTTCATCGGGGTTAGGATCAAATCTGCACCCGGATGCCAAATCCGTGTGCCACTTGTTTACATAACCAGTGTTTTTGCTTTTCAGAGTAGCAGTGAGATAATTTGCCACTTCATTGAATTTAGAGCAGGAACGGTCAGCATTTCCGTTCAGCCTAATTGTCTCCAGTCAGCTATTGATTTTGCGATTATCCATTTAATGTGATTACCGATACGTACGGGCTGCAGCAGCCTGTTGCTCTCGAGACAACACCATCTTAAAGGACACTACATCTTAAAATGTTTGTTCTTATTATTTTGTCTGTCTTTTTGAGCTGTTCAGCTTCGACAGGCTAAAGGCAGCACAGTGGAGACAACACACAGATAAGAAGCAGACACCAGCTCTGCTTTCTGATAAAACATTGTTTGATATTTTCTTTGTACTGTGACCTCAGCCGAGTAACTTGGGTCAAATTGCAAAACAATAATAATATATCCCCTTTGGCTAATTAGCATTTCCGTTGGCAGCCCATTTGTCCTTCCTGTTATTGGTGGTTATAACATCTAGCATTTTCTTTTCAGGAAAACTAACACAACACTCCCTGTGAGTCATTTCCTATTATTAATAATTCACCTCTAATCTGACAGAGCCTGTGTTCACGATTTGTTTCATCTACGGAGCTGCTGGAGCAGCACGGCTGATCCCTGGGTTTTCAATGTAAAGGTCAAACGTGGATAGAGTTGAGAGTTAAATACAAGTATAACACCAAAGAGCTGCAGGTGATACCGACAAGTTCTGTATTACTACAGCTCCAAGCAGTGACTATAACACTGTGTGTAACACCATAATACAGTTTTAACTTTCCTTGTTTTGCTTCTGTCTGCTGAGCAAATGACAGTTTGAGTTTTCTGTGTTGGTTTTTATGAGTTGATTTCTTTGTTTCTCCAGGAGTTTACAACAGCTTTTAGACTATGAAGGAAGTGACGTGGAGGAGACGTTTCTTCTCAACTTTGCTGTAAGTGTAACTTTTTATTTGTTGCCACGTGTGTGAAAAAGGCTGGTGTTATTCTTTATTTTGTTTATTGTTAATATGTTCCTTGAAGTTCTACGTTACAGAATGACTCACGACTGTTCGTTCTTTGTCGCCTTGGTGGTATATTTTGGGTCATTGTTGTGCTGGAAGACACATCCATGACCCATCTTCGTTGTTCTGGCTGAGGGACAGAGGCTATATTTTACATTACATGGCCACAGTGGCCCCTCATTGTGTTGAAGTCGTCCTGTCCTTAGCAGAAAAAC